AAAAGAAAGATGAAAATATAGAACATTTGGTTAGCTACGAGTTTTCAATAAACCTTTTAAGAGATATAGAAGAACAAGAAATAGAAAGAGCTCTTGAGAAAATAGTACCAGAAGATATAAAAGAAAAAAAAGAGTCAATATTTGTGGTGTTAGGAAAAAGTAGCATGCTTGAAGAGCTACAAAGAAGAGCTAGATAGATCAGAGGTCTAATTACAAAAGAAAATTTTAATAAGTTGCAGCAAAATTTTAACTCAAACAAACAGACTCTTAGCTTTATAGAAAATTTTAGAAGAACTGAATAAAACAAGTCTACGAAAAGATATAGATCACAAGGTGCAAATTAGTTCAAGAATGGGAAAGAAAAATTGGAATAATGAGAAGGGCTAAAAGAAGTTTAACCTAAGGACCAAGGATAAAATAAACAAAAAAAGAGAAGAAAAAAGAAGAAAGTAAAAATAGAGAGGAAGAGACAGAAAAATCTAAAAAAGAAAGCGAAGCATGTTGGAGAGTTACACTAAATCTAGCCAAGAAAGCAGTTCTAAATTGGATTAAAGAAGGCCAACGTGTGTCATGGTGGAAAGCTAATTAGTAGTTTTGACAGGCTGTAAAAACTATCCAATAAAGTATCAACAAGCTTATATCAAAGTAAGTTAATACTGAAGTAAACTTCTACTATAGCAGGTCATGCATAGGTGTTCTAGAAACAACTGGGCAAGCCAACACTTGTAATTTAGGTATCAAAAGGAATAGCCTTTTGTAAAAGTTGTAAAATTTTATATATAATATAAAAATTATGATAGCCTAATAAAGTAGCAGCAAGATTGCCGAATTGAAAAAAAAACAACTTTTTTTTAACAAAATTATTAAAATATATCTCAAAATATATTTTTTACTTAAAAAGTATATAGCTAAAATTAATATTTAAAATTTTATATTAAAAATAATTTTTTTAAAAAAAATTTAGTACAAATTTGTATGAGAAGGGATAGTCATACATCAAAAATATAACTTTAGTCCATGTGCAAACAAACATCTTTTTTAAAGTTATATTCTTGATTTTTATCACTATGTTGCATCAACATCGTAACTTTTGATGCATCAAAAACATAACTTTTGATACACTTTACTTGTCCAATATATGTTCTTTGTTATACTCCAGATAAATTTGGGTTAAAAATTCCAAAAAATGAATTTCCAAAAGAATATAATACTGACAAAGTTAGTCTGCATTAGCTATAGTGCTGGCCAATTTAGTTGGTGTTATGTTCTTTCAATAATCTGTTGTTTGGGATTTTGCTCCAGGCAATAAATACTCTACTAGGAAAATGCTTAGCATTGTGTATCATGATCATCTTATTACACAAACTCGTAAATATGTGACTTACATTTTTGACATAATCTTCATAATTTTTATGCAGATGCAGCAAAAAGGTAACTTTTGTCATGTGTGCGGACAGACATCCATATGCATCAAAAACACTGAATGCTGATTGTATTGAATTTAGAAATGTTCTCTTATTTCGAAATTATGTACATAGGGATAACTCACAGGTAGGTGTTATTTCATTTATACAGTATCAGGCTTCAAATGCTTTCTCACATGGCGATTAAAATTAATGGTTGTATTCAAGGCCTAACTGGCTTGTCCCTATATTTCTGCTTAGCCGTCATTTCAATATGTTGACTTCTCATCAGCCTGATTTTTATATTTTTTTTAGTTAAATTCATAAATACATTCGATTTTTTTTTTTTAATTAAAATCGGATTGGCTTTTTCTTTAGAAATTTGCACTTGGGAGTTTGCGCTTCGGGTGGGTCGATATAATTTAAAGTAACTAGTAATTTTTGCGCAATTACAATAAAGAAATCTTTCTTGGATTCGGATCGGATCGAATCCGAATTTGAACATATGGATTCGAATCCTAGTTTGGATTCGATTCGTACTTCGGATCGAATCCGAATCTTTAGAAATATTTGCCAAATTCAATCCATGCGGAGCACTAAATAGTAATTAATTGCCCCCATAATCAATTATTCGGTAGGCCTGTTCGAATCGTCTCGATGAGGTGTGGTAAAATTCGTTGATCACGTGACACGAGATATCCAAATTACCCCAATACCCTCTTCCAACTTCATGTAACGTACAATTGTTAATAGCTCGTGATCCTGTGATCCAAATTGAGTGATTTTGATACCATTCGATTCGTCTCGATGAGAAGAATCGAATAGTACTAAAATCATTTTAGTCTGGACCAATAAATAACGAGTTATGTGAGATTTTTACTAATTTAGTCAAATTACCCATTTACCTTATACGTATTAAAATAAACTTACCGTAAACGGCCGTATAAAAAACTCCATATCAGACCCACTACATTTTTTAATAATTATTTTTACTATTAATTTTTGTGAAATGTAAGACACCCGCCTTTTATATGGTCGTTGACGATATTTGTATTAATTTATAGCTAGTTTCATTATTTTAGGACATCTGAAAAATTTTGATGGCCGAATCGATAAGTTACCGAGTCAAAATCAACAAGTTTACTGACCTTGGCCGACGTCAAAAGCTTATCGATTCGATCATCAATTTTTCAAATGTCCCAAAGATAATGAAAACAGCTGCAATTTTTAATGTAATATTTTATTCGGCAATCAGTAATTGCACGTAAGCCGACAAAATAATCCGGCTCGTTATTAACCGTTAATGACTATATTAATAATATATGAGTGTTGGTAAGAGAAAACCTGTAAACCAATCCACTGATTTTCAACCTGGTTTACAGGTTTTCTCTTACCAACACCCATATGGGATCGTATCTGCATCACGTGGTTTTCAATTTACAAATTTGTTAAAACAATCTCTATGGTATCTATAATAAGTAATACCATATGTCACAATAGATCGGTAGAATCCATAATACGGAATCGGCAGATGCCGTGATTTTTTGGCAAAGATCGACCACCACGATCGGCCATACAAAATTAAATCTTATAACATGAAATTTTAAAAATGATCCGGCCCACTTTTAATTTTATTTTAAAAATTTTATATATAAAAAAGCATATATATATTTCTAAAAAAAATAATAGTCAACCAAAATTGTAAGATTTAACTTAGCCAGGTTTGAGAAACAATTAAATATCGATATGTATAGCCTAATTTAAATCAGTTCAGCAATTTTATTATGATAAATATAGTCAGATTTACTGTGCTGATGAAAAGATTTTAAATCATAATAAAATTTAAACAATACTCAATACATGGATACGTAAGCTAATAAATAAAATATCGTTTAAAGTAATCCAGGCTAGAATCTGTAACTATAATCTTTCAAACGATCTCATGCATAATCCAACATTTGATACCGATACAGTAACTGGTAAGCTTGATCTATCGTTTAGTGATTGTTCGATGACTAACAAAGGTATCACTAAATGCATTAGATCGAAATTTTTATTCGCACATGATTATGTGCATTCATCAGTTCTTGGGAGGATTCAACAGTTTGCAGAAACTAAATTAATTACGTAGTTACTCCAGCAGTATGCAGTCAGATTTGCAGTAACTAAATTAGTAAATTAAAAGGCTACTTCACCGATTTATTCAGTATATTAATTTTAAGTCGTGAAATCATGTACTGCTGGGTAAGCCAATTATCTCGTACATTAAACAAATTGTAATAGATGGAATAAAGCTTTAACTACTGAATTTATTTACTTTTTAATTAATAGCGACAGAAAACTAACCGGAACGAGCTAATAATACACTATATTTAAGCATATTGAAATACGATAATGGTTTATGTCAATTATGGTTAACGTTTAATTAATAGCTTTCAAGTACACGTGTAGTATACATTATTTTCATTTACAGATAATAATGAAAATTATAATCATTAAAATATTCATATCACGGAATCTTCGCCGTTTGGCCAAGATACAGTAATTAACAATTGAAAAACACAACATAAACTTTTTTCTTTGGTGCACAAATAAAGTGTTCCTTTCTGTAACGCATTACAACAGCTTGATTCGACTTTTACAATATTTATTCGGAAATTTAAAATTCCAACAACCAATGTTTAATTCATTAATTATTAATTAATTATTATTGTTAAAGTTTTGTTAAATACTTGGTGTAGAAAAAAACCTAGAATTAAAAATATGCTATTTTTGTTATTTTAACTAATTTATTCAATCTTTTTGAACCTCTTGGTATGTAGTACACATCCCTCCCCGATTAATGTTTCATCCACTTAGTTCCATATTCTATGCTTAGTGTTCAGATTGTTCAAATAACTTTAACTGTTAGATCATCTAACGCAATGTATGTATTCTCCTAGATAATCACGCCTCTCTACTATTTTTCGTGATTTTAGATGTTCGGAGATTCTAGAGATATCCATTTATATTTAGAAAACAGGACCCCTAAATGCGGAAATTTAATTATTTTTTGCAGATACGTCCCTACGTACGCATGTACCTACGTACATACATACAAAATACCAGGCATTGTTATAGTAAATGCTCTAAAGAATATTCTGCTAGTTTGCGAAAATAAGGAGATAATTTAATCCGATGTTCATACGTACGCCCAAACTTTTCGTGAAACCTTAGCTGTAATAAATTTCTAATTAGACAATTTTGTATAACTAAGTGATTTTAAATTCATTTCTTATATTGGAATTAATGATGTACCAATTAATAGAGAAAAATCAGTCTGGTTTCTTATTTATTATATTGTGCTAAATAACAGATTCTACACTTGTAAATTTTAAATTTTTAAATTTTTAATGCTAATTTGTCGAACCTTAAAAAATTATGATAAAATCGTTTCGTTTGCTTTTAATTTTTTTTTTTACTTTAGAATGAGTCCTAGTTTTAATTTTTTTATTGTATACTCATCTATTCCCCTTCCTTTAATACCGTAATAATAATCTTAATATTAGTAATAAACAAATATAAGTCACTCTTTTGTTCTAGTGTCCTTTTTTACTAATGCATACAAATAACGAAGCTGTCGCTGTTCATCCTACTTCTCCTAAAAAATATTATGATGATGACTTCTACTACGACGACTATTATGATGATGCTTCTAATCTTGATGCTTTACGTAGAACAAAACTCTCTGAAATTGATAACGCAGATTTTCAATGGTTTCACATAAGAGCTTGCATAGTATCTGGTGTTGGCTTCTTTACCGACGCCTATGATTTATTCGTTATAAACTTGGTTTCTACCATGATAAGCATTGTCTACTTTGACAATAATATTCCTTCAATAGTCGATACGGGGTTAAAAATATCTGCTGCAATAGGGACTCTAATAGGTCAATTGGTTTTTGGTTGGTGTGCTGATCGTTATGGACGCAAAAAGGTAATTACAAAGTAAATGCGTTTTTCATTTATTAATTTACCTTCAAATAAACTATGCTTAATTTTATTGCTCTCGCTATTATTATTATTTTATTGTGTCAAAGATGTATGGTTTGGAACTTTCTTTAATGATTGCTGCCACCCTTGGTTCTGCGCTCTGTGCAAACTCTTTTGCTGTCACTCTTTGGGGTTCACTTATGTTCTGGAGACTCATATTAGGTATTGGAATTGGTGGAGATTATCCTTTATCTGCTGGTAAATGTTTTTCAACTTTTCTTTTTTTTTCAATTATCTTCAAATTTTAACTTCTATTATTACCATCGTTTCAAAGTTATCACAAGTGAGTTTGCTACTAAAAAAAGACGTGGAGGTATAGTATATTAATTTTTCGAATGAATGAATGAATTGAATTATGAATAAATATGAAAATTTATCAAAAATTATATAAAAATTATTGAAAAAAATTAGCAATGATGGCTGCTGTTTTTTCCATGCAAGGTTTCGGTATTCTATCCGCGGCTGTGATTTCAGTGGTTACTTTGGCTCTTTACAAAGATCTTATTGCCCAAAATCATCAATACGTTGATCATGTGTGGCGAATAGTATTAGGTTTTGGTGCCCTCCCAGGTGTCGTTGCTTTATACTTTCGTCTCACGATTCCCGAAACTCCACGTTACACTATGGATGTTTTAAAAGATGTCGAAAAAGCTTCTCGTGACATTGATGTTGTATTATCGAACAAGGCTAACAAGGACAAAGAAACTCCTGTTATATCAATAGAGATTCCTCGCGCCACTGTTAAGGTAACATATTATTAATACTATATCTTATATATTTTATCTTCTCAATTTATCAATTACTATTAACTGTAATTTATATATATATTTTTAGGACTTTATCAATTACTTTAGTAAATGGCAAAATGGCAAAGTTCTATTAGGTACTTCTATCTCGTGGTTCGTGTTAGATGTTGCCTTCTATGGTAAATAATGTTAATTTATCTAAATTCTTGTCTATTTGCTGTCCATTACATATTTATATAAACAAGTATCAATCTCTTAATTATATAGGCATAGGATTAAATAATGCAATTATCTTGGAAGCTATTGGATTTGCTGATAGTGCTGATGTTTATACCTCTTTATGGAATATGTCTGTTGGAAATATTATCATTACTATGTTAGGCACTGTCCCTGGATATTGGTTTACCGTCTTTCTAATAGATAAATGGGGTCGTATAAAAATCCAATTAATGGGTTTTATAGTTCTCACTATATTATTCTTAATTTTGGGTGTTGCTTATAATCAAATTTTGAACCTTTCTATGCCGTTATTCATCACAATATTCACCTTATGCCAGGTAATATTATTAATTTAATCGAACTTTTTTTTAATTTAATTTATTTTGATTTTCAGTGCCATTTAAATTTTAATTAATGCTTCAATTTCTTATTTAGCTGTTTCAAAATTTTGGCCCTAATGCAACGACTTTCATTATACCTGGTGAAATTTTCCCCACTAGATACCGTTCAACGGGGCACGGTATATCTGCCGCCTCCGGAAAATTAGGTGCAATCATTGCACAAGTTGGTTTCATCAATCTCAAAGACATTGGAGGTAAAAACATGTTTGTGAATCGATTGATTTTAATTTTTGCTATTTTCATGTTTATTGGAATTGGATCGACATTGTTGATACCTGAAACAATGAATCTATCATTGGAAGAGCTTTCAAATGAAGATCAAATAGGTTTTATTAAAAAAGCAAAAATAAATGATGAAAATTCTACCTCTAAAAGTGCCAATAATTTAAGTTCTGTAACATCTAGTTCAGTATAATTTATTTACAAAATCGATTTTTTGCATATAATTATATGTATATTTTTTTTACACGTTTTTGTAAATTAGTCCAAACGATCAGCTATTAAATTTAATATTTTATATTGATACATTTACTCAAGGATTTGGTATATATCTCACCGGTCTGAGTTATAGCCAAACAACACTACAGCTCAAATAGAGCCATATTTAAAATTCAAAGTAGAATTATAATTGGTTAAATTACTTGAGCATAGCTGATCTTATTTCAAAAGTTTATTAAACAAAAAAAATAATAATAATAATAATTTTTGGTTATATGCTTGTTATAATAATAAATTATTTAAGATTTGATTGTTTTTTATAAATTTGAAATCTTTCATATTCCTCCAATGAAAAAAATATATATTCGCCATATTTATTACAGACACATTTTTTTTGTCGACAAAAAACTTTTATTTTCAAAATTAAAAGTTATAAGGTCTCGGCGAAGTGAAGGCCCATTTTTGTTAAAATTATGAATAGCTTTTCTGATTCTTCTATATGGCTTAAAATAGAATTTTGAATATTCCCATTCTTCAACGAAAAAATAAAGCATTTGTCACAACGTTTAGTACCAGATCCATTCAATAGAATTGTATCCACCAAGAATTTCATCAGTGTCTTTAACTTTTATGATTTAAAACAACGTTCTTTTTCTTGTCACACAATAGGGGTCTGTAACCGGGCATGGGCACAGACACAAAAATTTGATATTATTATTTAATTGTGCATGGTACTTTGCCTGACACTTGTGCCTAGCACTTTGTGCCCATGCTTTTAATTAGTGATGTAAACCAAACCCGATAGTTTGGATTCCCAAAGGTTTTTACTAGATTCGACAATTGTGTCGTGTAACCAAAATTTATGTATCGCTGGCTAGAGCACGAATCATAAGAAAAATAAATTGGTATAGTCTAGCGATGCAGGAGAATTATTTTCACAATTGTGAAAATAATTCCCCTGCACTATTACATGTTTCGTTCTGCGCCATGTTTATTTCATAGAGATGATTGATCCTTGAGGTTCGGGATATGCAAAAATAAATGGGCCACTGGTTTGGGTTTTGTATTGAGCTTGGAATTACAACAATAGTCGACCCTCAAACCCAAATTAGGTAGAAAGTCGTAATTGTCCCATTCGGGTTTGGTTTATATCGCTACCTTTAATAGTGCCTGGCACTTTTGTGCCCATAGGCACAGGTATGGACATAAGGCACTAGTGTCCGGCATGGGCATTTGCAGAACCCTATCACACAAATTCCAAAATGAATCAGCGGTAAACCCATCTCTGCTTCCACGAAGAAGTCTCTTATAGATATGTAGTAACTTTTTCATCAATCCATGAAGCAATTTCAGCTGCATGTAGAGATGCGATCCGAAAACTATTAGTTAATATAAATAAACTGTAGTTTGTTGTAAAACTGTAGTTTGTTGTAAAACTGCAGTTTATTGTAAAGCTGCAGTTTTAAACTACAGTTTATTTATATGTACTGTAATTTACAATTCACATCTCTAGCTGCATGTTCTTCGTTAATTACGGCTGAAAATGACTCTATTACTTTTGGTGGTAAATTTTGTGTTAAAATCACACGAGGAGGAAGGATTATATTGGTTAATTCTTTTCATTATATCTTTCCAAAGATTTTTTTTCAGAATTTGATGGTATGGTTGCACATTATCAATAATATCATTATCAGATACAGTAAAACCTCTATAAGTGCACGCTCTTGGGACCAAGCTTAAACGAAATGCACTTAGAGATCAATAAGAAAAAGTGCATTTATAGGAAGAGTGTATATATTTGGGCCAGGGTTTGATTGTCATTTAGAGAGGCGTGCACTTATAAAGGGTGCGCTTATGGAGGTTTTACTGCCCTATAAGAAAAGTGGTCCGGGTTGTGATACGGGTTGGTTTCTGAAATGGCACGGACATTACGGTAAGGGTGGCACGTTATATCACCGGCACGTTCGGATGACATGTATGTTGCACACGTGTTTGGCTCGTGATATGTGTTGGCTCGTTTCGTGGAGAGCGAAAGATTTTTTTAAAAAAATGTGTAATATCTTACAGCTATTATCATAATTTCTGGGACACCTGATAAAAATTGGCCGAGTGATTTTCGGCCGGTTCGATTAAATTTATGAATTCGGCATTATAACTGTTTTCATTATTTTTGGGACATTTGAAAAACTGTTGATGACCGATAAGTTTTTGTTGTCGGTCGACATCGGTAACTTATTGATTCCGACCCGGTAACTTATCAATTCGGCCGTCAAAAAATTTATCAGGTGTCCCAAAAATAATGAAACTGGTAAAAAAAAATTGACTGAATGATTGTTTGGCCGATTCGATAAGTTTTTGATTTCGGTAATGAGCGATTGTGTAATGTGCATATCTTTTTAATGACAGAGAAAATGTATATTTATATCACTATTTTTGCGCTTCTGACTATACTACTATTACTTCAGACAAGTTGGATAATAGCAAATATTTTCTTTAGTCCAATAAATTCTTGTTCATATCGAACATTTTTTTTGCGCCTCATTGTGTAATTTATTTATTATGAAAGTATATCTTATATTCAGAACCTTTTTTGTTTTTTGTCAAACCTATCTTCGTCATAAATTTTCGTACAGACTAAACACACCAAACATACTGGACATACATTCAAGCGAAAAATTAATTTTGGATGTGTTGACATTGTAGCATAATTCAGAATACAATCGCAAAAATATATATCAATATCGCTATATAACTAATCACGTTCCAAATCAAAAGTTTATTGCAAATAATCATTCGGTCAATTTTTTTACTAGATGTCCCAAAAATAATGAAAACATCTGTAAAAGCTATTTTTGTTATTTTACGATCTTTATAACAATAATGTCAGTATTATTAAATTACAGTTCAAATGTTCGTCAACATGTTTGGTGTGTTTAATTTGTACGAAAATTTGGATTAGGTGACCCTTTCATTTGGAACTTGGGTGTGACCAATCATTAGATGTGACAAATAATATTTGATATATATTCAATATATTGGGGGTCTTTGCCTTGAAAATCAAGTTACGACATTTCCCAATCGAGTTAATTCGGACGAAAACGGACCAAAATACCGGGTCATATTCATATGTAAATCACCTTTTAGTTTTACTGATTCAATAGTTTATTCAATATACTATTGAATCAATACATATGAATACGTATGACCTAGTGATGGTAAATGACCTGAAATGATCCAAATAACTCAAATGACAAATGACTAGTCATTGGGTCATCTTGAGACCCAAATGACAAATGACTAGTCATTGGGTCATCTTGAGACCCAAATGACTTAGAAGTAGTGTTCGGCAAAATAAAACAAAAACTCGATTATCGAGTTTTTGAATCTATTAATTTACAATATTTATAAGATATTGGTCATGCAACGATTAATATCATGAAATTTGGTTTGTCGGAGCAAATGGTTGGCTGACATGTGCC